CACTCATCTGAAGCTACACGGCCCCGATATTTATTTTGTGAATGAGAAGTCACCTTGGGAGGCATAGCCAATACAGTCTGAGTAGGCAATAGAATAAAACCTTTCCCATAAAGAGTCTTAAGACGAACTTCTTCAACTAGAAGCTCATTCACTACTACATCAACTGAGGGAAGTGGATTACGATGGAGAATAGAACCACGAAGTCCCTCGAAGTCATCCCTAAGGGCCATAAAAAATTTGCACCAACCGCTGCTCCTCTCTAAAAGTGCAATATATCATATGAGTACTTAGTTCAGCAGGTTCAACAAGTGCTAACTGATCCCAATATCCAGTCATAACTGAGTAGAACTCCTGAATGTTCTTATCACCCTGACGTGTGCAGCTCGAATTTTATGCTCTAGCTGATACCTCTTTGCAAAATTGGACTGAATAAATAAGGTAGCTAAATAATCTCAAATCTCTTTGGTTGTATTAAGCTTAGTCAAATGAACATCAATTGCCTGATCAACTGAGTTGTTAATCCAAGTAATGATTTTAGTGTTATTAATTTCTCAAGTATTCTTTAAGTCAACATATTTCTCGACCTTAGGATCAGTTGGATCTAACAAATCACCACTAACATAACTTCACATTTTCTTACCCCAACAAGAAATATTTCATAACATAAACCCAGTATACATAGTTCTCACCTTTTAATCTAACACTGATAGCTCGAAGAGAATCAGAATTTTCACTTGCCATAATACCCAAATCAAGCAATCCAAAGCGAAACAAACAGTCCAAACCTAGCAAAATTTAGCAGCCCAACAACCCAGCACACAACAAGAACCCAGCAACCAACAAAATTTAGCAACCCAACAAAACAACCATGGCGAGGCAGCAAACAATGGAACAATGGAAGATCTCAGCAAAACAACAAGCAAGGAGGAGAAGACCCAAAGCATAAAAGAGTAATGGCAACCCAAACAAAACTGAAAATCTCTAAAATATGGACTTCAGGCCACTGTTCTGGCTGTGAACAGTAGGCCGAATGTCCCAAAGGCCTCCAAATCACACCAAAGTCCAACCAAATGTGTTCAAATCACACAACCAACTAACTAATCCCCCTAATCGCACCTTTTAGAGTCGATTTTAACCAAAAAAATTCAAAGAAATCAGCCCCAAATTGTAAATCGAAAAATAGGGCCTAGGGTTTGAAAAAACATTCAAAAATCGAAAAACCCTATCCAATGGCCACAAAATCAAAAAACAAGCATACCACAATATTACCCATGCAAAACTGAGTCTGGTAGTGTTCTTCGTCTGGTCCAAAATGATGATGTCAACGTGACATCATCTTTGAAGCTCGTTGACGTCAACCCTAATAACTATTCATCCGTCCGGTTTATTGCTATAATATTGAAAATATTTAGGACCTAAACAAACTCTGATACCATGTTAACTTTGATCAATCATAAAAAAGTAAGAAAAAGAAGAAGAGAATATTATTGAGGCACAATAAGGCGGAACAACCTTAAAAGAAAAATACATACAAAAGGTCTTTATATAATAGAGCAACATAAAAGAAAACAAATGACTAAGCTACTCCTAAGTCTAAATATGCTAACTATTNGTCGGTCCCCATATATCAGAATGAATAAGATCAAATGGTGCAAGGGAACAAGTAACACTTTTATTAAAAGGTAATGAACTAAATTTAGTCAACTTGCATCCACTATAATTAGAAATGTCATGACTCTCTAAACTGCCCAAACTACTAGTAGAAGCTAAAAAATTTAAACAAGAATGAAAAACATGACCAAGACGAGAATGCCACAAATAAAAACTAGAAGATTGTGAGTTCAAATGGAAAGAAGATAGATCAACAGTAGAGGCAGCAACTTCTGGAACATGGAGCTCCTCCAACACATACAACCCTCCCTTTCTACGGCCTATCCCAATCAGCTTCTTGGACTCTGGATCCTGCANCTAACAACACTGATGTTCATGTCTCCAATAAAGCAATGAATTTCTTAGTTTTCTTCTGTTGATATCATGTGGTGTGATCATCCTAATTGAACAGTGGCCATTATCCATTTCAGGTATCTTGGAAACAATAAATTGAATGGAGTGCTTCCTCCAAATATTATAAGTCCAGACCTTGTTGCCCTGTAAGTTTCTGAATTCTGAAAAGGATTCCCTTCCTTCAAGATTTGTGGATGAAATATTATGAACTTTCGCNAAGATAGATCAACAGTAGAGGCAGCAACTTCTGGAACATGGAGCTCCTCCAACACATGCAGCCCTCCCTTTCTACGGCCTATCCCAATCAGCTTCTTGGACTCTGGATCCTANGAAATATTATGAACTTTCGCCTGTTAAGTTGAACTCACATTTGGTGGTGGGGGGTTGACACGAAAAGTAGCCTTCGGAAAAATGGCCCTGACCCTTTTTTAATAATGAAACATTTGGCTCCANGCCTGTTAAGTTGAACTCACATTTGGTGGTGGGGGGTTGACACGAAAAGTAGCCTTCAGAAAAATGGCCCTGACCCTTTTTTAATAATGAAACATTTGGCTCCGNCTACGGCCTATCCCAATCAGCTTCTTGGACTCTGGATCCTACACAACACAACCAGAAGAGGAAAATGAACCAAAAATCCTGAATCAAATAATTGACTTACGGAGATTAAATTCAAAGTGAGCTGAGGAATATAATAGACATCAGGAAGTCTAAGATGAGAAGAAATAATTGTCCCAACACTAGCTAAAGACATTTGAGTGTCATTGGCTGCAAGTACAGATACAGNCGGAGATTAAATTCAAAGTGAGCTGAGGAATATAATAGACATCAGGAAGTCTAAGCTGAGAAGAAATAATTGTCCCAACACCAGCTAAAGACATTTGAGTGTCATTGGCTGCAAGTACAGATACAGATGAAGGAGAAATAATAGACGCAAATAAAGAAGGATCACTAGTCATATGATGTGTGGCACCTGAGTCAAAGACCCAGGCGGTGCGGGACATACCTGAAGGGCCTGAGGTAAATGAACCTACTGAAGGAGATACTATAAGGGCACTAGGCTGATGGAAAGAGAGTAACTTTTGTAAATGATAAGCAAGCATAGTTAGGCTGGGGGCTTGTGAGGAGGACTCATCCACCAGTGTTGCAATTGCTGTTGAATGACAAACTTTAGGCTGAAATGACTGACTTGTTGTCCCTCTAGCATTTTTGTTCACCAGTTTAGGGCATTGAGTCTTCCAGTGGCCCTTCTCATGATAGAAGCTACACTCATCTGAAGCTGCACGGCCCCGATATTTATTTTGTGAATGAGAAGTCACCTTGGGAAGCATAGCCAATACAGTCTGAGTAGGCAATAGAATAAAACCTTTCCCATAAAGAGTCTTAAGACGAACTTCTTCAACTAGAAGCTCATTCACTCCTACATCAACTGAGGGAAGTGGATTACGATGGAGAATAGAACCACGAAGTCCCTCGAAGTCATCCCTAAGGGCCATAAAAAATTTGCACCAACTGCTGCTCCTCTCTAAAAGTGCAATATATCATATGAGTACTTAGTTCAACAGGTTCAGCAAGTGCTAACTGATCCCAATATCCAGTCATAACTGAGTAGAACTCCTGAATGTTCTTATCACCCTGACGTGTGCAGCTCGAATTTTATGCTCTAGCTGATACCTCTTTGCAAAATTGGACTGAATAAATAAGGTAGCTAAATAATCTCAAATCTCTTTGGTTGTATTAAGCTTAGTCAAATGAACATCAATTGCCTGATCAACTGAGTTGTTAATCCAAGTAATGATTTTAGTGTTATTAATTTCTCAAGTATTCTTTAAGTCAACATATTTCTCGACCTTAGGATCAGTTGGATCTAACAAATCACCACTAACATAACTTCACATTTTCTTACCCCAACAAGAAATATTTCATAACATAAACCCAGTATACATAGTTCTCACCTTTTAATCTAACACTGATAGCTCGAAGAGAATCAGAATTTTCACTTGCCATAATACCCAAATCAAGCAATCCAAAGCGAAACAAACAGTCCAAACCTAGCAAAATTTAGCAGCCCAACAACCCAGCACACAACAAGAACCCAGCAACCAACAAAATTTAGCAACCCAACAAAACAACCATGGCGAGGCAGCAAACAATGGAACAATGGAAGATCTCAGCAAAACAACAAGCAAGGAGGAGAAGACCCAAAGCATAAAAGAGTAATGGCAACCCAAACAAAACTGAAAATCTCTAAAATATGGACTTCAGGCCACTGTTCTGGCTGTGAACAGTAGGCCGAATGTCCCAAAGGCCTCCAAATCACACCAAAGTCCAACCAAATGTGTTCAAATCACACAACCAACTAACTAATCCCCCTAATCGCACCTTTTAGAGTCGATTTTAACCAAAAAAATTCAAAGAAATCAGCCCCAAATTGTAAATCGAAAAATAGGGCCTAGGGTTTGAAAAAACATTCAAAAATCGAAAAACCCTATCCAATGGCCACAAAATCAAAAAACAAGCATACCACAATATTACCCATGCAAAACTGAGTCTGGTAGTGTTCTTCGTCTGGTCCAAAATGATGATGTCAACGTGACATCATCTTTGAAGCTCGTTGACGTCAACCCTAATAACTATTCATCCGTCCGGTTTATTGCTATAATATTGAAAATATTTAGGACCTAAACAAACTCTGATACCATGTTAACTTTGATCAATCATAAAAAAGTAAGAAAAAGAAGAAGAGAATATTATTGAGGCACAATAAGGCGGAACAACCTTAAAAGAAAAATACATACAAAAGGTCTTTATATAATAGAGCAACATAAAAGAAAACAAATGACTAAGCTACTCCTAAGTCTAAATATGCTAACTATTCTAACAACACTGATGTTCATGTCTCCAATAAAGCAATGAATTTCTTAGTTTTCTTCTGTTGATATCATGTGGTGTGATCATCCTAATTGAACAGTGGCCATTATCCATTTCAGGTATCTTGGAAACAATAAATTGAATGGAGTGCTTCCTCCAAATATTATAAGTCCAGACCTTGTTGCCCTGTAAGTTTCTGAATTCTGAAAAGGATTCCCTTCCTTCAAGATTTGTGGATGAAATATTATGAACTTTCGCCTGTTAAGTTGAACTCACATTTGGTGGTGGGGGGTTGACACGAAAAGTAGCCTTCAGAAAAATGGCCCTGACCCTTTTTTAATAATGAAACATTTGGCTCCGAGCTCCAATTGAGCTAATTCTCGATGTTCTGGAATGAAGTTGACGGGACCTTCAGAGAGGAACAATGCAAATTATGAACCTGCTGACTAATACAATACTCAACAAAAATCTGTTCAGTCATGCTTCTAACTCAGTATTTCACTTCGTTGCAGAGATGTCTCCTTCAATTTGATTTCTGGAAACTTACCTCTAAACTTTGCTAAAGTAGGACTATCAATGTAAGTTGTAAGTTAACATCTCTAAATTTTACGAGGTTGCTTTGAGTTGGTGTTATTAGGCAATTTAGTAGCTGATTGAATAGTGTCACTCGTACGAACTGTTTGTCACCCCTTTATAAGTTTTCTTGCTGCCATCATTTAGCAAACCTACCTATTCATTTTTTTTTTCTCAGGAATGTAGCTGGAACTTCCATCAATGCAAACAGCTTACAGGATGGGTAAGTTAATTCTAATTACCAATAGAAACTAGGATTTCAGTCACAATACTCACAGTGGCATTGTGATAGTCATCCTCTGTTAACATTTCGATGCCTTCTCTTCACAGAAATCTCGTTCTAGAAGTACATGGCTTCAAATTTCCTCATCTAATGGCATACTTCGTTTCTCCAACTTTTTGTCTTTTATTCATGTGCTTACGTTGAAATTTTCTTAAATTTGCGAAGGACCACCCGCGATCCTAGTTGAACATTTCATATTAGTTTTAATCCCCTTTTAATGGTTGCTGGGGTACTTTTCTATGATAAAATATCATCAAAAAGATTTGGGCCTTCAGTGTTTCCTTTTTCTCTTTTATTGGGTGCTCTTTTGGACGCATTTTGTTATATGAGGAAGAGAATCCGATTAAGTGAAACTGCTCAATGCTATAAAGTATCTATTTTGGTGAATTGTTGGTTTCTTAGTTGTTTTAGTGGATTTCCTGACCACTACATTGGTCATCGGTGCAGGAAGGCCTCTGCAATGTTGCATTGCCTCCAAGGGAATACCCGATGCTCTAACAAAGTACGAGCCAGTAAGTATTATGCCTTCCTGTATAAGACGATATCCTCAAACTTCGATTGCTTTGCATATAGGTTGTGTTCAGACAACCATCAAAAGATCAGCCCATAATAAGATAATTTACAGTAAGATCATCCTATGGTGTTCCATGAAAAGTGAATCACTCGTTGTGGAGCTAAATTTTCATATGTTTATTGTATTTCAGAACTTAATAAAAGAGCAAGAAGGGAACCAGGACACAAGTTATTGTCAAGATCACAATTATAAGTAGAAATAAAATCACTTGGTTCACTATTTATGATCTACACTGCAAAATTGGAATGGAAACATATATATCAGAGTCATTTTGATGTTAAACTAGCAAAACTTTGTGAATTTTACATCTTATTGTCAAAATCTTTAGAATTCATATACTTAATACTATTCTTTACTAGTATGTGCTGCGTGCATGTGTGTGCATGTTTTTTTTCTTCATGTTTTTTTGTTTTGTTTTTTTTGGAAGGGGAGGGGGGGAGCCAAACTAAACGAAGGAAGGCAAGCTAGCTTTCCAACTGCATGTTCTTCTTGAAATCTCACAAGCCTATTTATCTGTCATGTAGCATCATTTTCTGTCAAATGTGGTGGCACAGACCAAGTATCTGCAGCAGGCATCAAATTTGATGATGATTCAGAAACACTAGAAGCTGCCTCATTGTACACAAGTGCCAATTCTCAATGGGCAGTAAGCAGCACTGGAATTTTCATTTCCAACCCAAATGGACCCCAATATATAGCACAGACAGATTCTCAAATCATGGAGACTCTGGAGTCGGAGCTTTATAAAACAGCAAGGATCTCACCAAGCACATTAAGGTATTATGGTCTTGGTTTGAAGAATGGTAAGTACAATGTTGAACTCCACTTTGCAGAGATACAAATGGATGACTCTCGATCTTGGAGAGGTCTGGGGAGGCGTTTATTCGATGTTTACATCCAGGTACTCGAATTTATTCCCCCAAACCCCGACGTCTAAATTCATGGTGTGGAAAGAGTTGCAGTGGATATCTTGTATGTGTCTAACAAAAACCAGATTACTTGAAAAAATCATGAATTAGTTTGAATGGTTCTCAGATGACATTTGCTTCTGTTTTCCTGCTACCTTGGTTCTTCTCTTGCCTAATTTCATATTTGATCTATCCAACTTACAAACAATGGACCAAAAAAAAACAAATAACTATATAAGAAATTCAATTTCTCCAATTATTCTTGTAGCAAAAGTCCCTGACTCCTGTGTTGGTGATCTTTGTTCAGCCCTGGTTACTTAAAAAGAAAAGGTGAAAAAAGAGAATCAATGGTTAATTCTATCCAATAAGTTTCAGAATCTAATGATCGATATGGTTCAGAGTCTAATACTTAATCAGAGTCCAACCCCAAATCCCTGAGTCTATAAATTTTCATGGTCCTTTAGGTATCACTAAATATTTGACAGGAAATTAGGGACAAATCTGAATTTATTCAAGACAGATTTGGTTGTTGTAGGTTGAACAGTTTTTTCTACTAAATTTGTTGTGTATTTTGAGCTGTCCACCTTATATCCTTCTGGTTTACACTTTTCTTTGTGTTATCTTGCAACTGCTGAAGGGCAAAAGAGTTCTTCAAGATTTCAACATACAAGAGGAAGCAGGTGGATCCAAGAGAGCGTTGGTAAAAAGATTCGAGGCAAACGTTACAAACACAATCATGGACATTCATTTCTTCTGGGCAGGAAGAGGCACTTGCTGCATTCCATTTCAAAGCACATATGGACCATTAGTGTCAGCTATCCATGTTTCCCAAGGTTCTCCAAAATCATTCTCATGTTCCATTTTTTTTCCCCCCCCGATATTTCTCATCTTTGATCTGTTAATTACCTCGAGCAGATTTTGAATAACCATTGATTTTTTTTCCTGGACTATTTTGTAGTGTCTGATGGTGTTGGTTCTTCCAAACGTGACAAGAAACGCATTGGAATACTTGTTGGAATAGCATTTGGATCTGCAACTGGGCTAGTGATAATCTCCTCCATATTCTACTTGTGGTGGACAAAGGAATCACCAGGACACATGCGAGTCCTCACAGACTCACCAAGAATGGGTAGTTTCAAACCAATGCAGATACATAGTCCAAAGAGTATCAGAATGTAGCTATATATGCTTGTGGGAAACTTTGAATAACTGTACAGTTGGTGAAATTGCTCTTCATGGTTTTTAAGTGGTTGTTTTTGGTTGTTGTACTTGATTTCTGCTGTTGTCATTCTGAAAAATTGAAACTATTTGATGCAAGCCTGCAATTCTATAGCAAAACTTGTAGCTATGAAAAGTTTTGCAAAAAAAAGTCCAAAATGATCCTCAATGCTGTTGTCATTCTGTTCAGATTTGATCTTCTTCTTGTGCAATCGTATGCCTTGGTGCAACAATTGGTTGGTTGAGGAGATAGATAGATAGATAGATAGATAGAGNAACTTGTAGCTATGAAAAGTTTTGCAAAAAAAAGTCCAAAATGATCCTCAATGCTGTTGTCATTCTGTTCAGATTTGATCTTCTTCTTGTGCAATCGTATGCCTTGGTGCAACAATTGGTTGGTTGAGGAGATAGATAGATAGATAGATATTTAGTAATTGTATGCACATGAAAAAAGAGCATTTTTTATAGGATAGGTCACAAAAATCCCAAATAGTTGGAAATGACTTCAAATTTTTTTTATAAAAAATCCTAAGTTATACGTAAAGGTACGATATGATTTTTATTACCATACCATCGAATTCTTATGTTCTTAGAATTTCAAGACTTCTTATAAGAAGGCTGTCGAAGAACCCGAACGAGTTAGTCTTGTGGTAGTTTGACCGCTTTATAAACACTTAAATAAGTGTAGGTTCGGGGTTCGAAAATCCCATGGGTGGGTATACCCTTGGGACCACCACCCTCCAATTTATAGATAGGCTGTTTTGTACAAGATTCAGTTAGTCTAGTGTGAATTCATTGTTACAATTGGGATATCAGAGGAAAATAAAAAAAAAGCTGTTGGAGTCATCTTTAACAAGAAATTTGTCAAACACATTTCTAGGATTCTGCCATATACCTTCATCAATTTTATTGTATTACTGACAGATTGTTTACAGTCAGTATAATCTTTTATNAGGAAAATAAAAAAAAAGCTGTTGGAGTCATCTTTAACAAGAAATTTGTCAAACACATTTCTAGGATTCTGCCATATACCTTCATCAATTTTATTGTATTACTGACAGATTGTTTACCAACCAAATGAAACCCTTTTTTGTCCCAATAGATTAGTCTGACATAGACCTCACTGATGAATATTTGGAATGATCAAATTGAAGATGGGAAGCATAACCCAAATAATCATTAAGGGTACAAATAATATATCTAATATTACAGTTAATAAGTTAAATTTTAAATTTATAAAAAGTATAGTAAAGGTTAAAATTGATCAAATCGTCGTCAATTTTGATTCAATGATNAATAAGTTAAATTTTAAATTTATAAAAAGTATAGTAAAGGTTAAAATTGATCAAATCTTCATCAATTTTGATCCAATGACNATAAGTTAAATTTTAAATTTATAAAAAGTATAGTAAAGGTTAAAATTGATCAAATCGTCGTCAATTTTGATTCAATGATACAAAATTTATCCTAAAAAAAAAACATTTCCGCCCAAAATCATGAACTTTTCTATACGACCTCTAACAGTGGACAACTCAATCCACACATCAAAATACTCCCCAATATCAAATAATCTCATCAATCTACCCTTCTCTTTCTTTTTTTTTTAATTTTAAATTATGTAATTAAAAAAATTAAATTACTATTTAATATAAATATTGGAGAATCAATGTTTGATTTTTAATATTGTGATTATTACTAGTATACCCATAAAATGCGTCTCCCCTCCCCCCCGGAATCTTGGAGAAAGCATTCGAAGCTCTCATGGCGGCTGCAACGGAGGACAAAGCATCAGAGAGAGAGAGAGAGACAGAGAGAGGATTTCCTTACAAGGGGGGGGCAAAAACAAAAAGGGAAGGTTATTACTACCACAAACGATCACGGTGGGACTCGAACCCACAATCTCCCGCTCCGGAGGCGAGCGCCTTATCCATTAGGCCACGCGATCTTCTGATGTCAATGTTATATTTCTTATCTTATAACTCGTGACCAATATTGTAAACAGCTGTACGGTGAAGAGGTTATACCGAAATTCTTATGAATGTTGTTTTAATTATATTTAGGAATTTGAAAACTATTTTCACCTTGTAATTCACATATTAATAATTACTTTGGAATTAGCCGAAAAATTATGAATGAACATTTTCCATTCCATTTCTCACAATTTTTCACGCATTTCCAAAGTGTATTGTCGAATGCCTTTTCTATTCTATTAGAATTTGCAATAAAATTGTTCTTTTTTAATTGATCGGTCAAGCAAAAATAAAGTTGTCAATCGTGTCGTGTCATTTTCGATGACATTATTTTTGTGTCTGGTCACTTTCAATATATATCCGGTTCATGTTAATAAAAAATTATTTAATTCCACCACAGCTCATATAATATTGTTTAAAAAATTAAAAAAATTATAAAATTCTTATTTTCTATTTATAGTACTCATTAAAGACTTATTAATCCGTTAATCGTATTAATTTGATCTATTTATTACTCGTGTCAACTAATAATAGTGTTATTTTCAAATTTTGTGTTAATGAATAAAATTAACACCCTTAAAATAAAGTATATAAATTGACTAATGCTATTAGGACATATAAAAGTTTATTGAAGGATTACAATCAGGGAACTGGTAAATAGAAATAGCCAAAAAATTGGGGACAGATCGCCTGCCCTGGGGCCATTTATTTATATCACAGCTTCAGTGACCATTCTTTGTTAATTTTAAGTAGTGAGTTAGGTGAAGTGTGATTGGAGTTATGTCATTGGACTTTTGTTTTCTTTCCCCTACTTTTTTTTTTGGCTAGATTGTTTCAAAAGTATTCAAGATAAGGCAACATAAAATGATAGGGATAAGCCCATCATAATGTAATTTCAATTTTAAAAAATCATAATGTTAAATTGAATAGGGGACACACCCCCTTTTTGGATAATCTCTAATAAAGAACTAGTGATGTGTTGTAAATCGAGATATACTAAGTTTAAAATTTAGCAACATCTTTAAGGTCAAGTCATGAAAAATTTATTCCTCATGAATTCCTTAATCTTTATGTGAATGATCTATTTTTGATTGGATTGAGAAAGAGATTAATAATGGTACATAAAAGTTAACTCTGACATCCCTCATTGTAATATCAAAAAAAATAAAATAATGTTGTTCAAATTATTGCATTTGTCCCTTTTTATTTTTAGTAAATTATTGATCCACTGGCCCCCTAAAAAAATATTTTATGTTTGGATTCATGAACCAAATGTAAAATGTTCTAATCTATTTATATATTTAGCAAAAGGCAATGCTTATCTTTTATTAGAAGACTAGTTACTTCCCATGCTTTCAAAATGTTCAACAATAAACATATTTGTATTCACACATAAAATTAAATCATAAACATAAATGAAAGAAAAAAGAATTTAAGCACCCAATTGTTGTGGGGATGAACAGTGGTGATGGTGGAAGACAGTGATAGATGTGGTGGCAACTGTGGATGACAACGATGATGGTGGTGGTGGGGTTTTGGGTGACGTTGGTGGTAGTGGCAGCCGTGGGTAATGGCGATGGTGGTGGTGGTGGGTGTGATAGGCAGTGGTGGACAACGGTGATGGTGATTGGCAGTGGTGGCGGGGGGCAATGACAATGGTGATGGTGGGCAACAATGCATACTTTTTAAGCAACAATTTGATTGGTGGTGGCAGCGAATGGTGGTAATGGCAGTGGGTGGTGGTGGTAAGTGTGGTGAGGGTTGATGATAGTAGGTGGTTGTAGTGGTAGGCAATGATGGGTGGTAGTGGTAGGTAAGAGTGTCACATTTGACCCGTTGATATGAACCTAACACGAAATATTATAAAATTGACACAATTATTAAATGCGCATAATACGTAGTCTACGCTAATGTTTAATACTCAAAACACACTAAATATTTTTTTTTTGTGAATTTTGACACGAATAAATATGACACGACATGTGGATTACACGAATACGACACGATTGACACTCATAGTGGTAGGTGNATTTTTTTTTTGTGAATTTTGACACAAATAAAAATGACACGACATGTGGATTACACGAATACGACACGATTGACACCCATAGTGATAGGTCTGGTAGGGGTGGGTGACAGTGGCTAGTGGCGATGGTGGGCTACAACGGGTGGTGTTTAGTGCTAACGGTGGGCGCTGGTGGTGGTGGAATAATGGTGGTAATGGTAATAAATATAAGAATAAGATGACGATAATAGTAGTGGTAGCGATGGACGACGGTGGTAGAAATTGTGGTGAGTGACGATAGTGATAATGGTGGTGACGGGNGATGGTGGGCAACAATGCATACTTTTTAAGCAACAATTTGATTGGTGGTGGCAGCGAATGGTGGTAATGGCAGTGGGTGGTGGTGGTAAGTGTGGTGAGGGTTGATGATAGTAGGTGGTTGTAGTGGTAGGCAATGATGGGTGGTAGTGGTAGGTAGGAGTGTCACCTCTGACCCGTTGATATGAACCTAACACGAAATATTATAAAATTGACATAATTATTAAATGCGCATAATACGTAGTCTACGCTAATGTTTAATACTCAAAACCCACTAAATATTTTTTTTTTGTGAATTTTGACACAAATAAAAATGACACGACATGTGGATTACACGAATACGACACGATTGACACCCATAGTGATAGGTCTGGTAGGGGTGGGTGACAGTGGCTAGTGGCGATGGTGGGCTACAACGGGTGGTGTTTAGTGCTAACGGTGGGCGCTGGTGGTGGTGGAATAATGGTGGTAATGGTAATAAATATAAGAATAAGATGACGATAATGGTGGTGGTAGCGATGGACGACGGTGGTAGAAATTGTGGTGAGTGACGATAGTGATGATGGTGGCGACGGGGTAGTGGGGATAGAGGTGGTGGGGCAGTGGCTGTGGTGGGGGTGACAGCGACAGTGGGGGTTTGGCAACGATGGCAGTTTGTGGTGATAGTT